GCTGATCAGTTTCAGCAGCAGCTGACTTGGGGAAGCTTGGGGTTCTTAAGTTGAATCTGTATGTAAGTCAGAACTGGCGGTCAGTTTCAGCAGCGGCTGAATCTGGACGCCAGTTCCGACTTACATACAGATTCAACTTAAGAACAAACCTACAGTCCCTATCTTGTACGTAACCCGGGGACTGCCTGTACAGTAGCAGACTTTGAGGGAATTGTGCCTTATGTACCATTTTGCTTTTTTTAAAAAAGTCAGTCAAGTTTTTTCATCTCAAAAAACAAAACAAAACAAAAAAGACCGAACCATACACATTAAAAATAAACATATTAAACAAATTTCAAAAAGTGATGATATTCAAGTAGGAAAATATAGGAGGAAGAGGTAATATCCAGCTGAACAGGATTTAAAAGAGGTGAAGGTAGGGTGAATCGATTTAAACTTAAGGTGTTTAAAATCACTGGTTTAATCTATTGTAGAGAAACTTAATTTTAAAATCAAGTTTAGTCTTTTTACCTTTCAAGTTTCCTAACAAAAACTTTACTTTTAACAGCAGGTGTTAGAGCCAACAACGTAACTGTCTGATGTATTTTAAAGTGAAAGAAATCCTACCCACCAAGCTAAATCTTTGGCTTGGTAACATATACATTTCCTTAAGCAGACATCTGGTTTAACAAAATTAATTCTTCTAAAAATGGAGAATATTTACTTTTCAATGTCATAGATATTAGTTACAATTTTGAAAAGTGCCTATATGGCTGTTAAGGGTCTAAATACCACTGATTTCCACTGACATTTAGGCTTTGCTGGACTTGGGCTGCAGAGCGGTTTCATTACTTTGTAGAATTCTGGGTTTCAGTTGGAGCTGAGCTCTGGGACACTTCCACCTCACAGGTTCCTAGGATTGCTAGGTTTTTGCCCGGACAGCCTGTTTTTTCTGGCCCCTGTCCGGTAAAAAAAAAAACCCAGAAAATACCGGACATGTAAAATGCCCAACATTTTCTGTTTCTCTCGGACATAAGGCTGGCGTGGGGAAGCGAGGAGTATGGGAATTCTTAAAGGCACAGCCAACTTTGGTCTCCTGGGTTTGTTGGGGGGGGTTTTGCCCTCGTTTGGGATTTTTGGTGAAAGCATCTAGCAAGCCTACAGGTTCCTACAGCCTACACTCCAGCTCAAACCCAGATGTCCACACAGCAGTAAAATACCCCACAGCCCAACTCCTATGAACCTGAGTTGGCAGGTACAGGCCAGCCATGGATTTCTCAATGCCCTGCATATATATCCCAATTCACTTCTGGAAATTACACTTAGGTGCTTGATAATTTTACTCATTTTATTCTTCAGCATACAGTACATATATATAGTACAGGTAAGTTAGACTATGAAAGTGAAACCAAACCACTGAACTTGCCGTGTTAGAAATTCATGTTTTATCTCTGTGATTTTACATTCAACGAAGTATTCAGTGCACTGCTTGAAAGTTAAAAAAGAATATGCCAGCACATTCCCATCACATGAAGGATTATACTATTTAAAACCTAGGTATTATTGTTACTTCCTCCCAAATGTTTAGGATGCCATACAACAAACAGAGGCAAATACCTGTTCCGACTCCTTGTTCCACTGAATGGAAATTTCCATTGACTTCAATGGCAGCAGACTCAGGATCTAAGCATCCACAAGAAATTTGGGACACAATCCTTAATAACTGTTTATAATTTAGACTGTATTAAAATCTAAAAGATGCTAAGTGTTTTCCATGTAGGGGAAGACATACTCCATGCTCCCAAATGCCCACCATGCATTATGCCTGGTAATAGTCCCATTGTCTTCAATGGGACTACTTGGGACTACTTGCAGGGATTATGTCCAGTAGCAAATGTTTGCAGTAATTGCTCCTTAGAATGCTCTGGGAGTGAGATTTTCCCATGAGTTCTCAATATAGCTGAGTAATTCAAAATGAATTATTTCTTATTAATATAGCCTCTTTCTACTTGCTGAATATCTGCAAGCAAAAACCAAAACAAATCACCATTTCCTCGATAATCAAATGTGTATGATATATTTATTTTCTCTATGGATTGATTAAAGATACTAATTGCTGAAATTCAAGCAGTGTTTCTTAATTGTGTTGGGAGCATAGTTCCCACTAAGGTGCTCGGCCACGCATAAAAAATTATTTTCCTGCCAACCTCCTCTGAAGAGTTGCGTAGTAGCACTCGTGCAGCAGGTGGCTGTTCCAGTGGACGAGGCTGGCTGAGATGGCATGCGGAGGGAGCCGCTGGGCGAGGGAGGGTATGTGCCAAGGCCACGTGGCAGGCAGGGAGGCCTGCTGCAGTGGCCGCAGCTGACACATAGCGGGGGGGAGGCCTGTTCTAGCAGCTGGGGCTGGGAACGGGACCTATCGCATAGTGTGGGGGAGAAGTGTCTGCTCTGGCGGCCGGGAACGGGACATGCTACATGGCCGGGGGGTGGAGGGGAAGTGGGGTCTGCTCCAGCGGTTGGGAATGGGACATGCTACATGGTGGGGAAGGGGAGAGGGTTCTGCTCCAGTGTCCAAGAAAGTTTATGTTAATAAAGTGGGTGCCACGGAGCACGCATCCAAACCAGCACACATGACCTCTAGATTGGTGCACAAGCCAAAACTCACTCCGCTCATGGTTGGAAAATCTTAGAGGGAACATTGGTTGAGAAAACTAACATTCATGATGTTTAGGTAACCAAGAAACAGAAATAAATTGTGTATCTAGCCTCAAAGAGAACAAGCAATATCAGAAATCATTCATGTTTTCATGCAGCTGTATTTAGGATTTTTATTCAATAAGTGCATTTTCCTTATTTACTTTTCCTTACTTACTTTTTCCACACCTATCATGATTTTATAGACCTCTATCACATCCCCCCTTGTTGTTTCTTTCCCAATCTGAAAAGTCCTAGTCTTATAAATCTCTCCTCAGACAGTAGCTGTTCCATACTCCTAATAATTTTCGTCATCCTTTTCTGAATGTTCTCCAAATTCAATATATCTTTTTCTGAAGTGAGGGGACAACATCAGCACACAATAGTAAAGATGTGGGAAAGTTTTCTACTATATATTTGAGAGACTTTGTCTGTTTGTTCAAGAACTCCTCCTAAATGGTAAGAGCTAGGACCACCTATGTCAGTATACAGCTTCCTCTTATAATTTAAACCATGTTTAGGGTTTGGCCATGTCAGGAAAATGGGATGTGCCTGGAATGTGATTGCTTCTCATAAAACATAAGAAAATAAGAATGGCCATACTGGGTCAGACCAACGGTCCATCTGGCCCAGTATACTGTCTGCCGACGGAGGGAGGGAAAACAACAGGTAATCCTCTCGTGATCCCTCTCCTGTCAATCATTTCCAAAACCCTACAGAAAAGAGACAGAATCACCAGGCAGGTGAAAGCAGCTGGCTGGAGGCATCATCCTTGCCCATCCCATCCGACACTGTGCCAGCTCCAAGCCTCCCACTCCCGAAGCAGTTTTTAGGGAGGGTGGAGGCACAGAAGCTTCCCACAGACACACACACCAATCCATACAGGAACATTGCTGGCAGTTCCTCTTTGTCAGGCATGAAGGGGAAATTGCACTGTTTGCTGCATTCCTCGCTCAGGCTGTGGAGCACAAGGGGTAAATGAATCTGGAACTGTCCCCGCCCGGGGCTCAAAATTGACACAACTGATTAAATGGAGAAAGAATATTCAGGGTGGACTCAGGGCAAGCGTGCAGAGTGGCACCCCCAGCTGTGTCCATGACACGCTGGGGCCACAGGAGGTGGCATCTTCCCCCCAGGAATGGCACTCAAACCAGAACTGCCTCACAGCTGCTACTGCCAGGGGACAGGTGGTCCTTCCAAGGTTCCTACCCATCCTAACCTGAACTTGTCCCAGCCAGTGGACATGCACCCCTCCCACAGATGTGCCTGCTGGAGCTGCAGCAGCCAAAGAAAGGTACTTCTCACCGGGACCCAAGCTGCTGCGGTGAGAGAGGGCTGGAATTGTCTTCTCTCACCACAGCAGTCTGCATACCAAACCCCTCATCTGCAGTCCCACCCCAGAGCAATGATTTCAATTAAGAATGTACATTTTCAGTTTATTTAAAAAAAAAACTGAGTTAAGGACCCGAGCAACACCGGGTAAATCTAGTGGATTTATAAAGAGGGAATAAGATAGAAAATATCTTATTATGTATCCCTTTTTTAATGATTCCCAACATTCTGTTTGCTTTTTGGACTGTTGCTACACATTGAGTAGATGTTTTCCGAAATCTATCCACAGCGAGTCCAAGATCTCTCTCTAGAGTAGTAACAGTTAATTTAGACCCTATCATTTTATATGTACAGTGGAATTATGTTCTCCAATGTGCATTAATCAACACTGAAATTCATCTGCCATTTTGAGGTCCAATCACTTAGGTTTTTGGCATCCTTTTGAAGCTGTTTGCAGTCCTGGCCCATGCCACTTCCCACAGTTCCTGTTGATCATGAATGGTGAACTGTGGCCAACAGAAGCTATAAGCGCCCATAGCTGTAATCACAGAGATAAATAAAGCATCTGATGGCCTGTTAGCAGTGAACCATGGCAAACTGCAACCAGGCAGCAGGTCATTTATTGCTCACCCCTCCAACAGAGAAATGGGAGCCATAAAGACAAAACAATAGAAAAGTGAGGATTTCACAACTACAACTTCTTGATAAGTGATTTCTTGCCAGGTAGAATGTCATCGTACAAAGCTTTCTTTAATCATCTTAAGAGCTGTTTCTTTATATCTGTGGTGTCAAACATGCTATCCACT